TTACAAATTGTTAAAATGGAAAGAATAGAGAATCACCAAAAAGTGACAATGGTAACAATAATCCAAAGGATACAAACTATTGATTAAAAAACCCAGCATATAAATTGGTCATTACTCAGAATAGTCATAAATATTGATATTTTTCAAGTGCTGGTGTCCTAGGACAGCATGAAGATTAAAGAGAAAACAATTCCCATACTTTCATATCCTTCAACAAAATTGTTCTTATGTACCTGGAGAATGCAAACATTAGGGCTATTTGTTTCTGACATAATAATATCTCAAACCAGTTTATATTGGTTCTGAAGCCAGACTGTTGGCATGTAAACCAACGCCTGGCTGAAGCAGTGTCAGGTCGTCTGTGGCATTGGAGCCTTTTCTTTTTAACGTTTTCAGAAGTGGCCATGATCTTGCAGTCGGGGCGTACTCTTGAGGCTTTGTTTTGGTGACCCTCTAGCAGCCCCTGGGCAGGATTTACTTGGAAACACTCTTAAAGGAGCTGGCAGTCTCTGACTGTGTGCCATCTTGCCTGCCCTCACTCCTGCTTCTGCAGAATCTGATGTTTCCCTCTTTATCCCCCCATCGCTATTGGGGTGGTAATGACGAAAAGATTAGGAGTGGAATTCAAGCTACCATTGCCAGCTTGAGCTGGAATAAAGTATATCTATCTGTCTATTTATTTTTAATCTGGTGGCAATTATAATAATGAAGGTTAATACCTTCTGCTATTTTTGATGCCTTCAATTATTTTATAATTCCAATATTCAATAAATTCTGATATGAATGCCAATAGATTACAACATTGCTTTAGGTAGCTTAGGATACACTCAAAGTACTCTGTCTAGCTGTGGTTCCAACATGCCCAGATGGCTGGGGGGTCTCATCACTGTTATCAGAATTTTATCACAAGAAACTAAAGGAATTTCTGGGGAGAGGGGAATTTAGACTAAATTAAAAACATGTAATGCTCTTAATGATGCTCTCAGTCATTCTACACAGCAAAATGCTAGACTCTCCTTGTTCTTCCAATTACTTATTTTACAAATTAACATATGTTGTTTTCCTTATCTAGGATTTGGTTTATTTTTTTTAAAAAAAATACATGACTAATAGTGATTTTGTGAACATCTAAACTAACACAACAAGAACAAGAACAATAGAACCCCTGGGGTTTTAGTGCCCAGCTTTAAAATCTTTCATGTAACCACCTTATATTAATTCACCCTATATTAATTCACACAGGAACAACACAAGCAACTGAATACCAGGGCCAGAGAGATGTCAGTGAATCAAAGCTCTGTACGTAAAGTGATATGACTACTTCTGAGTTGTTTGCAGAAGCATCTCGTATGAAGGGCATTCTGAGACTGCCTCAAGGGAACGGCAAAGAACTTAGAAAAATTGATGAACTTTTTTGACATAAAGCACTAAATCTTTTTATTCAAATGCATTTTTTTTTTGGTATCGCATATCCTACCTTTTAACTTTGTAATTTTTGTGTGAAATATATCTCAGAGATACACTTTAACACTCAATATTCAGCATTATATACATAATGTACATAAGGGTGGCCAAAAGCAAGTTTCAAGTTGTGAAAACTCAAAACACAGAGTTTATTCTTGTATTATCATTTATTTATTAATTACTAGAGAGCCGGTGCACAAGATTTGTGCACTGGTGGTGGTGGTGGTGGTGGTGGGGGCTCAGCCCAGCCTGCACCCTTTTTCAGTATGGGACTCCTCGGAGGATGTCCACCTGCCAGCTTAGGCCTGATCCGGATCAGGCCTAATCTAGCAGCAGACATCCCTTTCGCAGTCCGGGGCTCTTGCAGTCTGGGGCACCTCGCTCCTTACAGCTCACCTGCAACGGAGGCAGGAGAGTCACCCACCACTGCCATTGGGCTCACCAGCCATATGAGCTGCCCTCTTGTTGTCAGTGTGATCCCACAGGGGGAGCACTGCTCAGCCAGAAGCCAGGTTCACTGCTCCTTAGCGCTGCTTTGGAGGTGGGAAAGGCTCCTGCCCCAGCCATGAACCCAGCTTCTGCCTGAGTGGCGCTCCCCCTGTGGGAGCGTACTGACCACTAGGGGGTAGCTCCTGTGTTGAGCATCTGCCCCTGGTGGTCAGTGCATGTCATAGCGACTGGTTGTTCCACTGTTTGGCTGATTTGCATATTAGGCTTTTATTATATAGGATTGTATTATTATTAAACCACTTTTACTCACCCTTGTGTATGTATGTATGCATATATACACATACGTATATATGGCATTTATGGAAAATCTGAAGATTAGTCATTGGTCCTGTTCTAATAATATAAAAGAAGAAACCTTATTGAAAAATAGGCACTTAGAAACCCAGAGAGCCTACACACAAAAAGGAAAGCCAAATATTTCTGGTAGTTAGTCACTGTTATAAATAGACCGCACAGCAGCAAATCAAATATAACATTAAATAACTCTGAAATGAAAGTAAGCATTCTGTACAAATGTGACATTTTGGAGCAGAAGGTTAGTTCATTTTAGGTGGATGTTAGAAGTAGATGTCCTTAGAATTTAATGATCCTTCTTAATATTAAAATTAACATTTTAGTTCATGACCAAAAGAACAGCATTGTAGAGTTTTCCCAAAGTATTCAGATTACAGTTAAACATTATTTATTCCCCGAGCTCAAAATCAAGGGGAAAAGTATTTGTTTAATCTCTCATAAAATAGGTAAGATTTTCCATTCTAATATTGAAACTCAGGAACAACTGAAAATATAAAATTGATCCACGGCCCCCAAGTTATTTTCAAACATTACTAAAAAGGGAGTGCTCAAAAGAATAACAGCACCAATAACAACAAAAAATAAAATGCACACACACGAATGAAAACAACCCTCCTCCTCCCAAAACAAAAGCCTTTCTTTATCAGCCATTTTCTTTAAGACACTTCCTAAAAGTCTGTTGCATTTGACAGTCAAGTGCTTTTTTTCTGGGTACTTTTCTTGGCTGGCTAGAGGATTTTACAAAATCTAAGCTCAAGAGTTGGGTGGAGTTGCATGTCTAGTTGTCTAGCTCTACCTGCGGTATTGATCTACACGTGGTGAGCAGTGTTTGGTTGTCTTGGAGTAAAAGAGTCTGTTTGGAGCAAAGTCAAATACGTAATGACTCTCACTGCTCACTGTCTAGTGAGTTGTGGTATCACTGTGTAGCTGTGATTGTGTGCCCAGGTAACAATTCTGGTGCACGGACTCCTGCACATAGAAAGGAAATTAATTAGAAGGTGGCCGGTGGGGTGGGACTGGGCAAGATGGGCTGGATACACCCTGGAGCCAACTTCCTGCAGTCTTTCCCCAGGGTCTGTGGAGTGAGCCGGATCCCTCCAGCAGGTGGGGTCCTTTGGCCTAGCCTGAAGGGCGTGGGCTGAAATTGGCTGAGTGTGAGAGGGCAAAGTTGCTGTCATGTAAGGTGTAGAACGCAAATGCAAGTGTGCAGTAAACCAGATTCGAGGCCAACAGTGCCCCAGCAACAACATAACCCATAGCTGAAGGTGGAATTGCAGAGACCCAAGAGGAATTGGGCTCCCTCCTCTCTGGTTTTGGGGTGCATCACCAGAGAACTGCTTTGCCTAGACACTGCAGTTCAGCAGCTCCTGCATTAAGCATCTTCCCCCTGGTGGTCAGTGTGCATCATAGCGACTGGTCAGACAGTAAGAGGGATACTTAGCATATTAGCCATTTATATATATAGATAGGCAGTCATTGCATTTCACTGTTTACATGCCTACTTCCCTTTGCTAGACTGAGAGCTGCTTAAAGACAGAGAGTATGTTTTATTCCCACTCTTTATCATCTTTCATAATGTATGGCATGTAGTAAGTGTTCAATGAATATTAAAAATGTTCTAGATATACTTGCAAATGATCATATCCACTATGTTTTAAATTCAGAGTACAGTATTCTCTTTTGAGTCTTATTTCAGACTTGTCTTTTATTTTAAAGACAGGCAAACAAGAAACGCAAACTTATTTCTCTGTGTTAAGCTAACATGGGCATTTAAAAAAATAATACAACACTATGATTTTCACTAAACTAGGAAAGGTTATTTTGGAGCTGCAGGGACGTTAGATATTTGAAGTAGTAATTACTTCCTCCTTAAATGTTACCTTTCAGAATCAAATACTGCTTTCCTGTTGCAGTTCAACTTTTTACTTAAAGGAAAATGTCTTTTATTCACAATTCAGGGTGCTATAATATTACTCGTGGTCATTCTCCTTTTCATTTGTTTTGGTATCACTGTAAAGTCAGTGAAGCATCATCATAATAACGACAGTAGCTTACACTTCTAGTGTTTATTCTGTGCCAAGCATTTCACTAAGCATGTTACATGAGCTATGTCCTTTAATAACCACATAAAATTTACGATGTGTGTGATTTTACATCTATCTATCTAAGCTTAGAAAAGCATTTTTCTTTTAAAAAATATATTTTATTGATTTTTTTTACAGAGAAAAAGAGAGAGGAATAGAGATGTTAGAAACATCGATGAGAGAGAATCATCGATCAGCTGCCTCTTGCACACCCCCTACTGGGGATGTGCCCGAAACCAAGGCACATGCCCCTGACTGGAATCAAACCTTTGACCTTTCAGTCCGCAAGCTCACGCTCTATCCACTAAGCCAAACCAGTTTTGGCTAGAAAGGCAATTTTTAACTGAGAAGCAGTATGGTCAAGAAAATAATGCAAAGATAGCCACCTTCATATTTTGCATTCTTGGTTCTTTAAAGTTCTGAGTATCCAGCAAGAAAATTTAATACCATATTTTGCATAATCTGGAACCAGAAAGCACTTGTGTTATCATTTATAAAACAATCAGCATATGCTGGGTTGTGCTATCAAGTCACTGCAACTAAGATTCCAAGAGTATCTCTTCTACATTGAGTAGATGGAATATGAACTCTTACCTAATGATCATCAACACTTCATGTTGAAAGTGACTACTATCATTTATAACTCACCGTGGTAGACTTGGGCTTGGTTCCAGAATTCGTCACTGGGGTGGCAGATGGCAGGTCAGTGGACTCGGTGTTAGAAGACAAATGTGTTGGTGTCTGATTTACTGAAATGGTATCTGCTCCACTCTCAGATCCCGACTCCAGGTCCTATTAAGAAAATGCATTCATATGAAGGACATGCACATGCTCTCTTCATGACTTTTTTCCTGCTACCAGCACCTTCCCACCTCTTCCTTCTAACACATACTCACAAACGAAAGAGAACACACATTGACACACAACTCACACTGAGTGTCACCCATAATCATGCCTTATTGTTATTTTTTATAATCCTGCATTATTTTGTAGCAACAATTGAACTCTTTCAAGTGTCTGATTTAAAAACAAAACAAAACAAAAACAAAACAAACAAAACAAAACAAAATAAAAATAAAACAAAACAAACAAAAACAAAACAAAACAAAAAAACACACCAAATATTGGAGAAAGAGGTAATAAACAACTTTGGTAATTTAACAGCTGATTGTGAAGGGGGCATACAAATGGCTAGCAGGTACACAAACAGATGCTCAACATCATTAATTATCAAGGAAATGCAAAATCAAAACCACAATGAGCTATCGCCTCACACATACTAAAGTGGCTATTATCAAAAAGGCAAGTGATAACAATTGTTAATGGGTCTTGGAGAAAAGGGAACCTTGTATACTGCAGGTGGGAATGCCAACTGGAATAGCCACTATGGAGGTTTCTAAAAAAATTAAAACTAGAACTTTAATATGATTCAGCAATTCTATTTCCAGAGAAAACAAAGTCACTGTTTAAATAGATATTTGCTTCCCTATGTTCATTGCAGCCTTATTCACAGTAGCTAAGAAATGGATACCTAAATTTCCAATGATAGATGAATGAATAAAGAAGATATGATATATGCACATATATGTATACTAGAGACCTGATGCACAAAATTTGTGCATGGGCAGGTCCCTAGGCCTGGCTGAAGATCAGGGCCAATCTGTGGGGCAATCGGGGCAGGGTGGGGGGTGGGGGGCGCTGGCACCTGCCTTGGCTGGCCTGGGGGCTGGGGGCCGTTCCTTCATTGAGCATCTGTCCCCTGGTGGTTGTTTTGCCATTGGGTCAATTTGCATATTAGGCTTTTATTATATAGGATATATGCACACATGAATATAATGGAATGTTAGATATATAAAAGTATGTACAATAAAATATTACTTAGCCATAGAAAAGAAAATCCTGCCTCTTCTGAGAACACGATGGAACTTGAGAGCTTCAGGCCATGAAATAAGTCAGACAGAAGCACAAATACTGTATGGTATCACTTAAATGTGAAATCTAAAAAAAAGCCAAACTCATAGGACATAGAATGGTGATTTCCAGGGACTGGGGAGGGTGGAAGGATAGGGAGATGTTGGTCAGTGGGTACATATTTCCACTTGTAAGACGTATAAGTTCTGGGGATCTAATATTCAGAATGGTGAATATAGTTAATAATACTGTATTATATACTTGAAAGTTGCTAAGAGAGTAGATTTTAAATGTTCTCAACACACACACACATTTATAATTATATGAGATATGGCTATGTTAACTAATTTTATTGTACTAATAATTTTGTAATATATGTATATCAATTTATCATATTGTTCACCTTAAGTGTACACAATAGTATAAGCTAGTTATATCTCAATAAAGCTGCAAAAAAATAAAAATGTGAGATGAGATGAAAGAAGTAAAAAAGACATATACAGCAATAATAAATACAAAAAGGAATCTACATTCTTTAAGTATGTGCGTAAAACACATAACCCTAACCAAATTTCTTATGCCATGAGTAATTTTAGATCAGTGATAATTTATTTTTGTTGTTTTGTTTTGTTTGGAAAAGACAACACTTTACTATAAGAAAAATATGACTAATTAAAATTTAAAATTGAGTTAACATTAAATGAATAGTCACAAATAGCAGGTAATTGATAAACTTCAAATGCCTTGTTATAAGTAGCAGATTATTTATAAGCCATTTACATTTGACCTTCATGTACATCAGAAATCTTTTGCATTAATTTTACCTTCTTGTTTATGAATTGATTAGATAAGTAACTTTGTCTTTCTAACAATACAATAATTGTGAAGTTACATAATAATTCTTTAAAAATCTACCATTTATGTGTTTTATCTTTTAAAGATAATACTTTATAACTATTTTTTACTTCAATTTCATCAACTCAATGTAGAAGCTAAGTTATCATTACTACTTGATAGATGATTAAGTCAAAGCTTAAGACAAGTAACTTGACCAAATTCACATTCTGTGTCAGCACTGGCATTAAAACTCACATCTGTTTGACCCCAACTTGTTAGGCTCTATCAAGAGAGCTCCTGTAAGTCTTTACCTCTACCCTTATTTTAATATATATTTTTCACCTTGAAGACTTGCCTAAAGATTCCAGCCTATATTATTCTTTAAATTTTTTATTATAAGTAGAACTCACTCCAGCATTTTCTCATAAGGAATCTCAGTCTGAGCTCACTGTTTCATTGCAAGTCTTGTCCTCCCTGCTAAACTGTAAGTTCACAAAGAAGTATGAGGGTGTGGCAGAGGGAGTTTCTCTGGATCTGGGACAGTGCTTCTTGTTGGACAATCAAGGTCATAATCATTCTGTTATAATCTCTTTATTCCATGGCACAATTATCAAAAGTAATGGAAAGTGCCTGTGGAAAATATTTTGGCGATCAGAGAATTTTAAAATTAGCTTTAAATACCAAGGAACAGAAATAAAAAACAAGGGATGTCCTAAAAAAAACAACATATTAGATCAAAAAGAAGTTTTGAGGGCTACAGGATAGATTTTATTCATTTTTAGCCAACATGTGGTATGAGTGAGCACATGGGAGAAGGAAAGGGAATTAACAAACACCCAGTTGTACTCTCTGCCAGACCAATACATCTTACATACGTCCTTTCATTGGCTCCGCCCAACAAGCCATTAGGTAGGAAACAATATCTCCATTTTTCACGTAAATGTGAAGGTAAAAAATTAAAGGATTTTCTTGTGTTCTCAGATATTTAGCTGTAGAGCTGGCCTTTGGACCCAGGCCTGCAAATCCCAATGTTCATAAAGTTTCTACTATATTATTTTGCCTTTTCAATGTATCTGTTGAGCTGAACACTTGGAAGTAGATCTTGATTTACAGAATGAGCCCTTATTAGGTAATAGTAGTGATATTCTATGACATAGTGTAGTGGTCGGTAAACCGTGGCTCGCGAGCCACAAGCGGTTCTTTGGCTCCTTAAGGGTGGCTCTTCCACAAAATACCATGGCCTGGGCGAGTCTATTTTGAAGAAGTGGAGTAAGAAGAAGTTTAAATTTAAAAAATTTGGCTCTCAAAAGAAATTTCAATCGTTGTACTGTTGATATTTGGCTCTGTTGACTAATGAGTTTACCGACCACTGCCTTAGCTGGTTTGGCTCAGATAACAATATGGAGTTGTATTTAACAGAAACATGGGCTGTGGGTTTTCTCCTAGATACTTGGGGATTGAAGAAAGTTTAATATAGAGGGAAAAGTAGAGAGATTAAAGAGATAGTGAGAAAGATGAACAATTCATACCAGACAATTTAAAAAGAGAAAATGTGTTCTATGCCTACATTAATAGCAAATAAGTACTAAGGACTAAGGACCTCCTGTTGAAAAACATGGTTATGTCTGGCTTTAAAAATGCTGACGAAAATGAGTATGATACTTCTATATGCCCTTCACATGTAAACAAGTTTAAACATCCCTTCTTATTGGTCTTCAGATTACTTTCACTGTATTTCCACCAGGGATGGAATAATTGATGTATGGGAGGACTGAGGAGATTTAGGAAAGACTTTACTGTAAAGAAAATATTTGAGATGAATCCTGAAGGATATGAAAAAATTACCTGAAAGGTTATAGGCAAAAATAAAAATGCCCTTTCTACTAGCTTTCTGGTGAAAGCATTTAATTTCATATTCACTTTTAATTTTTTTTGTTCAAGCTGTTAGATTTCCATTATAGTCAGCTAGAGCACAATATGGTGCAGTGGTCACATGCCATGGCTCTGGATTAAGACTGGCTGGGTTTGTATCTCGTCTCTGATACATATTATTACTACCTTCTCCATGCTTTTTACTCACTTGAAAAATGTTGTGAGGAATAATATGTTAATATATGTCAAAAACTTATAATGATATCCAGTGTATACTAAAATAATACTAAAGTTATTATTTTAATTTATTGACTTTGAAATATTATGTCCCACATTCAGAATTAGTCTTAACTACAAAATCAACTGTAGAGCTACTGTATACTAATGAAAAGATTTGATATAGAACAGTTCTATTTTGAAAGGTGCTGAAATTTATATATAGAATTGTCTGTCTCTTTGCTCTAAGGTAAATGCATAATTTCTTGATTTAATATGTTCTTTATTGCATAATGAAAATAACAGATTAATGGAAAAGGAATGCATGGCTTAATTATAAATAAATCTACCATCACATTTGCTAATTTTTAAGATATAAGCCATTTAATATGGAACTAATATTAAATATGCAAAGTATATAGTCAGTATAGAATCTGTGTCTTTCAAATTTTGAGTGTCAGATTCTCTCAGGAGTGTACATCTTATATACAATTAATACACAGAACAAAATTATCACCTCTATCCTACTTATTGTATTTCAACAAGTTAGTTTTAGAGTATTTTCAAATTGATCTAAATTCTTTCTTGTAGTATTCTGGATGAGTCTCTCCACCCATCCATCCATCCATCCATCCATCTATCCACCCATTCATCCATGCAGGAAATATTTATTAATCTTTTACATGCAATGTAAATTTGCAGGCACTGAAAATAAAATATTAAATAAGATAGATATAGCATTGCTAATTGTGTTTATAGCATATCACTGAATGCTGATAATTAGAGAAACAACCATATGAAGAGAATTTAATCACTTAGGAAGCATAATCTCTCAGAATGAACCTCTTTCTGTCTAACTAATAATAACCATTTCCTTTCGAACCTCACACTTCTTTTATGACTCTGCATGAAGCAGAAGTATTCGAGTGAGTTTTATGGAACATGTTTAGGATCACACGTGGGTAGATGCTGCCATCAAAGATGCTTCGTTTGTAAGAGGGACTGCATGAAGCAAAGTGACAACATGCTCATGGGAACAGAGGTGGGAAGTGGAAGGCTCACAGGAACGTGCCGCCGCAGGTTGGTGGGTGTGCTGGATGTAGAGGAGCTGGCGCTGAGAGCATTCTCAATGTCCTGGTCAAGCTGGTCCAGTTTCATAATGAGCAGCACCATGGAGTCCAGCCGCGCCCTGTCTCGGTCTTCTTTCCTTTCCTGAGGGACAGAACATGTTGTTATGAATCTAAAAGGCCGTTTCTTGGAAAGCATAAGAAGTGCCCTGTTCCTCAATGTCACAAAAAGGACACTGAATAATAGGCAGTCTTCTACTGAAGGGGAAAGAGAAGTTCTGTTCTGTACCATCAATAGGCTCTTCATTGGGAAGATACTAGCCAACTGCCAAGAAAGCATTTGAAATGCACATGAAATACATACCCTTTGGATCAAGGCACAAAGAAAAGGAAGTACAACATCAATGCGCACTGATACATATGTACGACCTTCCAATAAATTATTCTTAGGAAAAGTTATACTACTCCTGTCCAGGACAAATCAACTGTAACATACTAACAAATTATTTGTGGTTAGACATTTGAGGAGACACATAGGAGAATATTTTTTGGAAGAATATTTCTGAATATATAAAAAAATGGGAACCAAATCGGAAGAATACTTCTGAATATATAAAAAATGGGAACCAAATCAAATGAGGCAGGTTTTCAGTTTGTGCATAGAACAAGTTTTTTTGTTTTGTTTTTGCATGGAGCCATTTTCCTAGTGTTGCTTCAAGCTTTTATTGTCAATATTTCTTAGCAATCTACTTTCCTGCTCACAAACTTTAAAAAACAAAACAAACCCACAATCATATATATTTTTGTAAATTATGATGGTTACTCATTCTAAATCCTCTATAATATAGACATATATTAATGAAAATACTCTTGCTTATAGAAATAGCCAAAGCTTCTTATTTACTATATAGAGTTATTTGGGCATGACTGTTTACTATTCTTGGATGTTCAAATCAAGTCAATTAATATTAGAAATCTTCCAAATTTCTTATATTGTATAAGGTATCAGGGTTGGTTAGAGTATTAGAGGGGGGGTGGGAGAACAGGAAAAGCATAGTAAGATTCTATTGAGGGATGCAATGGACTCAGAGAGAACCTTGTTGAGGGAAATTATCATTTGTGACTCATGTTGCCATCTTCTTATCTGTCTGAGATATTTACCTAGGCGAAATCAGCTTTGAAAGGACCACCAGTGGCAACCTCAAAGGGAAATACATCACAACAGAAGCCTAAAGGGTGTGTATAAGGGAACAGGTTGGAGCCTTTGCTTAGTGATGGCATTACTAGTGGGATGGCTGAGTTGACTATCTGAATCAGATCTTTTAGTTTGTTTTTGACACTTTTCCTTTTAATCTTTCTACATTCCTAAGCCACCATTAGGAAGAACCACCGAAGAATAAAGGACTATTAATCTAATTCTATAGGAGTCTCTGTACCTGAAACAACTAGAGCAGATTGTTAATGTTATACAGAACTATCTTTAAGATGTCAAAAAATTGATTTCCTAGATTAAGTTGGTTAAAGGATCATTAATTAAGTTAATATATAGATAAGTTATTTGGGTAAGCTAAACTTGTGCTTTGTTAACAGATTCATGTCAAAGTGAAAGAGCTAGTACTTTTTCCACAAAGACATTAATTTTGAGAATTAAGAATATTCAGTTTAAATTTCTTCTTGATAATCCAGAAAATGGAAAACTCTGAATAGAAGACCCAAAGTTTCCTTAATTATTCCTCCAATGTGCTTGCTTGTATAATTCTTTTCCTTTTAAACCAAGTTGTTTGACAAGATATCATTCTTTGCACTCCTATAGTCACAGTTTTTGCATGATTGTCTTTTGCTTCCCAGGTGTAACATTTTCAAGCACAAAAGTTACATTTTTCTACCTGGCAGACATAGAGTCCAATTATATACTGCCCATGCAAGATGTTTTCAGGGATAAGAATAACGAAGTCAATAGGAGTCAGTGAAATAACACTTCCCAAAGCCTTAGAGATATATTGTGATATTTTTCCAGATACTAAATTAATGTTGGATAAAGCAGAATATCCTGTAGCAGTAGTCTCAGAAACAATTTGTATTTAATTAACTGGATGTTGAGATTGTGCCTTAAAAACACTTTCAAATCCACAGGCTGAACATCAAATTATTTGAAATGATTTGCCAAAAGAAATAAAAACAAACAGCTCTGGTCTACAGTATTACTTTCGAGAAATAGCCCATTGTTTTACCCCTTTCTTTCATGATGCCTCTCCTTAATCACCAGTCATTACATTCAGCCTGAAGTGTCAAGCACACAGGCCGGTATCACATGTTACATACACATCCATAAAACGTCACAAAATAGAGTTGACTACAAATCAGATGCTTTGGATAAATACTATTGTTCTTGTTTTTAAAGTCCAAGTATTAATAGTTTTCAAGTTTCTAACCTTTCATACGTCCATGGCTGAACTCCAGTATATAGCTTATGCCTGAAAATAGAGATGTATCCTTGCAGATTTTGGCTGCATTAACTTCTACAGTGCAGCTTTCATTGCATGCTGTCATTCTTGTCCATGAAGAGAAAGTAACTTCTTAAGAAGTGAAGCTGCCTACTAACAAACTTCTCAGTATATAAGTATCTTAACCCCCCTTAAATAAAGGCCAAAATGCCAAATTCTCTACTCTTCTGTCTTTCTTTCCTTCTCTCCTGCAGTAATAGCTGTTCTGGGCCAATCACTATTAAAGAGATACAATATTCACTAGTGAATAACAAGTATAAAATCACCGCTTTCTTGAATATTATAGTCAACCATGAGCAGATGACAATGAAAATTAACATATTCACAAACAAGACAAATATATGAAGAAAATAAAAAGGGTAACAAGATACATAGGAACTTGGGAGGTAGTGTCTCACTTTGTATAGGGTGGTCCAAAAAATCTTTCTGAGGATTTAGAGAAGAGACAGAGATGGAGGTGGAAATGGAAATGAAGAGAGAGAGAAGAAAGAGAGAGAGAGAGATTTAGGTATCATGTATATTTTCTTCAACTTCTGCAACCAGGTTCTCATTCCTTTCCAAAACTACATTTCAGAAGAACACCAATGACTACAAATCAACTGCAAAAATCTTTAAGACATCTAGTCCAGGTCTTTACATCTTTACTTAACAATTATCCAAGATATGTTTAGTGGCCATCTACTATGTGTTATGTATCATTCTCTAGGGAGCCACCTATTTCATATTTGCACAGTTATAATCTTTAGTTCTGTAACAAAGTCAAATTCTGCCTTCTCCTTACTCCCCAGGTCCTTCCCACAGAACTAGATAGCATAAGCAGTATCTGCTCCCTGAAATAGCCTTTCAACTATTTGAAGAACTATGTTATGCCCACTTTTACCTTTTCTAGGTGGATCACCTTCGGTTCTTTTCATTATTTCACATATAACATGCTTCCCAATGTTCACTAGTTTTGTCAACTGTTCTCTGAATATGATAAACGTTTGTCAATGACCCAAGTGATGGTTGGTGCCCAGAGTTAACATTGTACTGTATGTGTTCTCTGACCAAGGCAGAGGAGGTAAAAACCTCGCCCCGTGGTCTATACCCCTTTTAAGGCAGCCTAAGACGCAGGGCCTGTTTAGAACACGGGCAGGGTATTGTTATTGGGATAGACACAATTTGCTTTTTGAATGAAAAAAAGTATTTAGTGGACTGTGAACTGACCTTGAGCCCACGTTATGACCTATGCCTCCCTATATGTGCCTGCGTCCTGCTAAGGACAGAAACATTCTGTTGTCTTGAGAATGTAACCAGCTATTTTCAAGGTACAGATAATACATGAAGCTACTGTGGGGAAAAAAAAAAATCTCTTTCAGACATAAACCAGTGGCTACTTAGTCAAATTAGGAAAGAGATTTCAGTTCAATTTGATCTGTTGTTATCAAAACCTAATATGGCCAAGACACATTGCGCTGACGGAGAAATGTGAAAGATGCTCGTTATTTATTGCCAACATCTATTGAGTCCAGGGGCAGTGAAGCCACTTGGATCACCTGGCATTTTGGGGAGAGATATTCAGGGCTTTTTAGGGGTCACTCTCTCCAGGAAGCCTCTAAACAGGGGCCTAAACTACCCTTCTTTCCTTGCATCTGGGGAAGAGAATTCCAGCCATCCTCTTTCTTCAGATGCTCTTTTTTGAACAAAACAGAACGCAGCACAACTGGGGGGTGGTGAAGGGAAACAAATGACCAGGTCCTTTACAGACTGGGCAGATATGAAGACCAGTGAAGGGAAGAGCCTCCCCCAGCAGCGCACAGGCTCTGTTTTCCTAATCTAAGCATTTGGAAGAAAGACAAATAAAATAAAATAAAATAAATTCAGTAAAATACCCAGATGCTTCCAAAGAGTGGATATTTGGCTGAGCAAATAGAGCATTGCCTGAATGTTCTGCTTGTCAATGAGTTGTGGCATCAGAGACAGCCATAATAAATTACAGGCTAGGCTAGGAATAGAACTAAGACTTCCTGATTCTTAATCCAAGGTTCTGGCTCCTACGCTGTCTTTGATTCCATAGGCATCTCACTGGCTATTCTGGGCGGGTAATGCTCCCTGCTCCCCGTAAAAGAAAGGGACCTTTTAGCCAAAGACTTGGCTCGACTTCCTTCTGAATTATTTGATCTGTAGCCAGCTGGACTAGCATGAACTCTCATATTAGTATTATACATTTTATTTGACAATAAATTCCTCATTCTAGACTTTCCTTTCTTAAAATAATATCCCTCCTAAGGAACCAGAAGTTTATTTACTCTTTTTTTTTCTTCTTCACAAGAAGTAAAGGTTTTTCATTTGAATCGACAGTAAGCTAGAGTTAATGTAATTATCCTATGTCAGAATTTCTAGGCAAGCTAAACAAAGTCAGCCTTACTTTTTATTCCGGCGCATTTCAAGCTGCAACTTACATAGAATGGGAGGTGAGAAAACAAACCAGCAACTACTTCCTAGTTACCAGGTATAGTCTGTTCAACAACCAAAAAACCTTTGTATAATATCTTTAATTAATAACACGTGCCACTATCATTTTAATATTAGGTGGTGAAGGGTGACAAGTAATATTCTCATTTGAAGTTGCTGCAAGGAATCCTTTAACTGAAATGTAAAT